CTAGTTGTTGATATTAGCTTTTAAAGTTGGATATTTTTAGAGTGCCTAGGATTGGAATATGTTGCGAGTAGGGGATGAGAAATGTCTCTCCTTTTGAACGCTACAATTAATCTCTACGTGTGAAGAAGAGCACTGAGAAATTTGGTGGGAGCAACGGGAAAACTTCGATTAATAAATGTAAGAAGAGTGCAAAGTTTGATCATCATCCTAGCTCATGAAAGCCCGAAACGCTTGAGGATAAATCTCCTCTTTACAGAACTCTCTCTCTCTCTAACCTTAGAGATCTCTAAGCAACTCTCTCTCTCTCTCTCTCTCTATTATAATGCATTTGTTTGATTGAATTCTGGTACTAGTAGTCACAAGTAGAATTTCAGTTCAAGTAGGAATCACAAATTGAATCCCGGTTCAACTGGAAATTTAAATATATCTCAACCGTCAAAATTGCCTGGAGCGACTTCTTAGGGGAGAATTCGAGTCGTAAATTCTAACAGTAAATTTATGAGCTTAAGGGTATTTTGGTTGGTAATAAGAAGGTTAACCGCGCATGGGACCATGACCATGAAGATTAGATTGCCTTCATTGGTTGACATCAAGATTATAAGAGATCATAATGTGTAATTTACATTGATCGATGAGTCCTATCCTTCAATATCCGGGCTTCTTCCTTATAAAGCCAACTTTATTTTCACTTGTTTACAGTGAGGTCATGCTCTCTGGTTGTGTTTATTTAATAAGAGCGTAAAGGAGGGTTACAAAATTAAAAGAGAAGCTCATGTATAGCTTTTGCCTCCAATGAACTAAATATCAAATAAATATTAGAAAACCTTACTGACCACAAAGGAGCAAGATCACTTAGCAATGGCCATTTTCGTATACTCCCTTGGTTAGGATCTATGTTTTCACATCAGCTTGAAACTCATGTTAGGAAAAAGATGGCATGGCAATTGACTCCCATGATGGGAAAATGGTGGAGATACTCCAAGAAGACGCGCTAATTCCATCTAGTCTGACAATGAAATGCTCCCAGCCCCAAAATCTTCTCCAACAAAATAAAATAACATATGTGAGGATTTTTTATGCTTGATTTTTTTTTTCAGAAAACAAGCCAAATCATTTCGTTAGATTTATTCAAAAAATTGTATTCTTGCCTGTCTTTAGCAGAAGACTGTCAGCAAATGTAACCTTCTTATCTTCTACTTAATTATCCATGTGGATGTGATGGCTCAAAGATTTTATCCCTTCGATACCGATTGCTTACTGTAATGTAGACTTTCTTTTTAACTTTTAATTAAATTTGTGATGTTCTCTCTTTACTGTCTTTAGTTTGTACCACAACTCATTGTTTAAAATGTTTATTGCTTGATACTTTGGATCTTGCAAAAATTGATGACTTGCATGTTGCATCAGAGATGCAAACATTAGCAGTTCAGTTTAGTAAGGCTGTTTGGCTACTCTCCACTAACCTAGATAAAAGCCTTGACCAGATTAGTATTGATGCATGAGGGAAGGTGGATCACTCCTAACCTGGATAAGAGGCCAATTTTTGAACTAAGAAAGAACTAGCTTGTGATTGGCCCAATTTTAGCCAAACAAATGCTAAACCCCTGTTCGGGTTAGTCGAACTAATTATGTTAGTAGGGGGAGTTTCCAAACACTCCCTAAGCATTTTTGTGATTAGTTATGAAATCGTACCACAAGTTTTATATTCTATGATCTATGTTATCATGTTATGTAAGCATGAAGATTATTTTTTTGGCACAAGTAATAGTTAAATAGAGAAGTTTTATGGCACTTTGCTATCAGTGAAATTTCAATTTTCAAACCTGAATTCAAAATTATAATAATGCCCCACAAACTTGAAAGATGATATAGCATCAGTTATTAGTGGAAGAGAACCTTCTCTATTGTCAACCTCAATGAAGGTACAGTTGACCAGTTAAGAGCAAACTAGTTTGGTTGATATCTACCAGGGTCTGTCTGGTTGGAGACTGAAGAGCTAGTCTCCTATGACAGCCAACCAAGTAATTTGTCCCTGTATCACCTGATTTGTCACAAAGTCCAACAAAAGGTTATAGTTCTTATTCTAACCTAAGATCGACCCACACACGGCCTTGCAAAACTTTTTTATGGATGTCTTTATGTTCTAAATTTCACTAAGTTTTAGGCGGTTGGAATGACATAAATAAGAGGCTAATTTTGATTGTAATCATACAGTCAATGAACTATTTAAGGTTTCAATAGAGAAACCCTATAAGCCATAACATAAAAGTATATACATTATTGCTAAACCCTTTGTAATTGTATTATGGAAAAAGAGATGTGTGAAATAGTTGGGAGGAGCAAACATCAGAAATTACCATGTAAACATCTGGGCATCCTCAATCCATTACAAATCTGCTTCTTCTGATTTCTTGTAGTAACTTTGAAGGCTGTAAACTTGTAATGTTTGATTTATTCTGGCATGCCAAAAAGCTAAAAGTGTTCTTGATGCGAAACGAAACAGGGGGTCCATTGGAATCAGCGATCTAATTTAAACAACACATCGTTTCGCCAAAATTCATGATCTTAGGCAGGAAATTTAATCTAAAACAGTTAATGTGACAGATGGATTTTAATTAGATTTGCATCGATAATTATGAACAATTCTAATATCGATCAATTTAATTGCAATATTCATTATCATTGCACAAGTTTTACAATCAATATCAAGTTTTAACAATCACATGTTCAGTTACTCTCAACTCACAGATTTAGTTTAAGCAATGAATATATGATAAGAATTTAGATATGTAATACTCATGCAATTAACTAATAAATTGAAATCAACAGAAAAATACTGAGTTGAGAGAAGCGAAACCTCAGTAGATCACTATTTAAAAGTGAAAAAAATAGTTTGTCCTGTTAACCTGCTATGCTTTGCTTGGATCTGAAGAAAAAAAAGGAAGGAGCGACTTCGGGAGGGTATCCTTTCTCTACGAGTTATTTGATCTGAAATCTGACGGAGAAAGGCGAAACGATCGGTGGGTCTGTGAAACGATCGGCTGGTCTGTTCGACGATGAGGAAGAACGACGAAAGAGCGCGAGATCCGACGACGACGCGAGCGATGACGAGAGGTGCGAACGACGTCCGAGGACGAAGAAGGACGATGATGGTCATCGATGAAAGGAACTCTGATGTCGACGAGGTGGCGGAACGACACGGGCGACGTAGTCGTTCGGAGGTGGAGGAGAATAGGACGTCGGCGGCGTTGCTCGAAGGAGAAGAGGGCGGGGGAGAGGTTGTGGTTGTTGAAGTTGGAGGCGGGCGGGACGGTCTGGTGGTGGGGCTGTCTGCAGGTGGAGAAGCCAGGGAAGGAGGAGGGGAAGTGGCTGGTGGTGATGAGGTTGAAGACGATGACCAGAGAAGAGAACCGGTGTTTGTGTGCCGGCTGAGGAAAGAAACGACAAGCACTAGCCTAGGGTTTCACACCCATCGGTTTCACACCAAATTAAGCCAATGCAATTTTTCATTTCATTCTTTAATAATTCATTGATTTTTAATAGTCTCATACAACTTTATTTATAAAAAAAAACTACGTGCACACAACGTGCAATAAAAATAGAAACAAACAACAATCCCTCAAATCACTTAACTAAAATTAAACTAAATTTCAAATTTCAAATTTTAAATTTCAAAATTCAAAATTCAAAAATATATCTACTAATCAAATATTGTCATTTCTTGTTCTCATTATTTTTCCCGGGTGGGAGAAAACTCGACTCCGTCGAGTTAGCTACAGAAACTTGTCATATTCAATATACTCTGTTTGCATCTTAATCCGCTGTCAGTTATTTTTTTGCATCTCAAATCATTAGTTAAATTGCATTGTAAATTCATCATCTAAAATATTATCAAAATTCACTGCAGCTTAGGTGAATATATAGAAGTGGGGGTAATGTGAAAGAGCTCTCAGAAATAATAGGCTAGGGTCAGGTTTATATCAGTGGACTGTCAATAACATTGTGAACTATTTAATCAATTAATATTGAGAATAGAACTATGACCAAATCGATAATATAAATGTTATTAATTAGTCAAGAGTTGGAAAAATTCATAAATATCATGTCAAATCTTAATCAGCAATAAAGAACTGTATTAGACAAGTCCAAACCATCTAAAATATCAGCATCAACAGTTTTAAATTAGGTTCTGATTTCATATCATTCATTTCAGTTAACAATTTATTTATTTAAGTTAGATCACTGATTCCCTAATATATGATCAATGCAAATCAAAACAAAATGATGCAATCAACTCGAATGACTATGTATGAAATACAGACTTGAAAAATACGGTCAATGGCAGATGTAACTCAACGAGGTATCTAACATGCATGACGTCCTCTATCAAATGGAATAATTAGGTGTCCATTTGTTAAAATACATAAAAATTTTCTTGTCCTAACAATGATAGTGAGGAACATGCAAGCAAATGTATGACAGAGTGTTTTTGTGCGCTTAGTATGTGAGAAAAAAGAAATGAAAACACTCGTGCTCAAGCTTGTATCCCTAATCATTATAATTTCTCAAAATGGATCAGTGTACGTGAGTGATTGTTGGGACAATGCATGGTGGTGGGATATCTAGTATGGTAGTTATTTTACTATGCTTAGTTTGGTATTCGACTTCCATACAGATGTTTGAGTGAATCGATTCAAAAGCCAAATCAGGAACGTGTTGGGTGTCATGTTTGTCCGGAAAGACTTCGTGGGGAATATCATCAACGTTTTCAATCACTAAAGTTGGTTCAGAAAGAGTTAGAATTTCAATTTCAAGAACAACTTCAGGGATAACATCAGTGGACTCCGTGATCAAAGAGGTAGCTTGGGAAAGAACCGGAGTTTTGTCATTGTATGAAATTTCAATTAACTCCACAATTGCAGGGGTAGTTTCAGAAGAGATGAAAGTGCATGGATTTTTAATTTTACTATCCTGGAATTCCTTCGCAGAGTTAATTTCTATCAAATCTACGGTCTGATTAACGGTTTTCTCAAGAATAGATTTTGATTCTGTCATATGCGGCTTATTAATTTTAACTGGTGGAAGGTATTTCCTGTTTAGTTCGTCAGCCATTTCTTGCCAAGTTAAAATTGGTAACTCACTACTAATATATCTTAATGTTTCGAATTTGGACCAATATTGGCAGGCTGGTCCGGTGAATTTTATTATCGCAAACTTGATTTTTCTTGGTTCTGTCATGGCATACCAGTCAAAGTATCGATCCATGTTCTTCAGCCAATTCAAGAAAGTTTGTGGACCGAGCTTACCATCAAAGGTTGGTGGATCAGGCACAGGTTGAGGTGAGGGTTGATGAACGATGTGCCCCCCATGACCTTGACCTTACAGAGGCGGGTTTGCAACATGCGCTCTTTCGAGCCTAGTAAGTATTTCGCTGGTGGCTCTGCTCTCTTGAGCTACGTTATCTATTTGTCTTTTTAGTTCTCTTAATTTCTTAAGGATTTCGAGTGACATGTTGGACTCACTAGACATTTTACTAGACTCACCTAATCGATTAGGTAGGCTCGTGCGAGTGGGCATGCACTAACACTAGATGAGATGAATGAGATATTTTTTTTAAATAAAAGACTCAACGAATCAAAAAAATAAAAATAAAAAATTTCCTACCCTAGAACCATGCTCTGATACCAAAAATGATGCGAAACGAAACAGGGGGTCCATCGGAATCAGCGATCTAATTTAAACAACACATCGTTTCGCCAAAATTCATGATCTTAGACAGGAAATTTAATCTAAAACATTTAATGTGACGATGGATTTTAATAAGATTTGCAACGACAATTATGAACAATTCTAATCTCGATCAATTTAATTGCAATATTCATTATCATTGCACAAGTTTTACAATCAATATCAAGTTTTAACAATCACATGTTCAGTTACTCTCAACTCACAGATTTAGTTTAAACAGTGAATATATGATAAGAATTTAGAGATGTAATACTCACACAATTAACTAATAAATTAAAATCAACAGAAAAATACTGAGTTGAGAGAAGCGAAACCTCAGTAGATCACTATTTAAAAGTGAAAAAAATAGTTTGTCCTGTTAACTTGCTATGCTTTGCTTGGATCTGAAGAAAAAAAGGAAGGAGCGACTTCGGGAGGGTCTCCTTTCTCTACGAGTTCTTTGATCTGAAATCTGACGGAGAAAGGCGAAACGATAGGCGAGTCTGTTCAACGATGAGGAAGAACGACGAAAGAGCGCGAGATCCGACGACGACGCGAGCGATGACGAGAGGCGCGAACGACGTCCGAGGACGACGAAGGACGGTGATGGTCGTCGACGAAAGAGAATCTGATGTCGACGAGGTAGCGGGACGACGCGGGCGACGTAGTCGTTCGGAGGTGGAGGAGAATAGGATGTCGGCGGCGTTGCTCGAAGGAGAAGACGGCCCGAATCCAATATTTTTTTTTTTTCCTTTTCCGTTTTAAAAGTTTTAAAAAAATTTTTTTTGGGGGGGGAAAAAAAACAAAAATTAAATAAAAATAAAAAAAACCATTAAAATCACTTTAACATAAATTTTGGCGCGGGGGCCGCCCCCGCCCCTTCTTAAAAGTTAAGAAAAAATAAAACAATAAATTTTTTTTTCGCCGGAGGTTTTTTTTATTTTTTTGTGAGGAAGAAGCCGAACGACATAAGAATAATTGATTATTTTGGGGCCCCGCGCTAAACACGGTATTGTAAAAGTGAAAAAATAGTTTGTCGCGTTAACCTTGCTAGGCTTTGCTTGGATACTGAGAAAAAAGGAAGGAGCGACTTCGGAAGGAGAAATCATCAAACAAATGTAATAACTTCAAAATAAACAAGAAAAGAGTTCTCTTTTGATCCCTGTAAATCTTCTGTACTTTTGGGGGTGACCCCCGAAAGGCCGCAAACACGATAGGGTTAAAGCGAGTCTGGTCAACCCCCCGATGAGGCCTTTTGTAGACTTGTTACGGAACCCCCCACGAAGCGGCTTTTGGCTTTGGAAGATCGCGAACAGAAGTTTTGTTGACCAGTGTGTTACTTTTTGCGCCCTTTTTTGTGTCGTATTGTTTTCTTCGTTTGATTTTTCGGCCCCCGTGCACCCCGCCCGCACGCAGGTTTTTCCCGCCCGCGACAGGACGGCCCGCACCGTAGTAACACGAACCCCCGCGCAGTATTCGATGACGCGCGCACAGCCCCGACGTTTGTGTTATTTATGCCCAGGTTCGTCGGTATCTTTTTTTTTTTTTTTTCCCTTTTTTTTTCAAACGGGCGAAAATTTCCAAAAGAAAAAAGAGCGGAAAGAGAATGATGTCGAGCGAGGTAGCGGAGACGACGCGGGCGACGTAGTCGTTCGGAGCGAGGGGAGGAGAATAGATGGTGTCGGCGGCTGTTGTTCGAGGAGAAGAGGGCGAGGGGAGGGCTGTGCGTTGTTGAAGTTGGAAGTGCGGGCGGGGCATCTGTGGCCTGGGCTGTTGCAGGTGGACGAAGCTAGGGAAGGAGGAGGGGAAGTGGCTGTGGTGGTTCGATTTGGTTTAAGAAGAGAGTTGACAGACGATGAAGGCAGAGAATGAGAAACGTATGTTTGTGTGGCGGCTGAGGAAAGAAACGATAAGCACTAGTCTAGGGTTTCACACCCATCAGTTTCACACCAAATTAAGCCAATGCAATTTTTCATTTCATTCTTCAATAATTCATTGATTTTCAATAGTTTCATACAACCTTATTTATAAAAAAAAGTACGTGCACACAGCATGCAATAAAAATAGAAACAAACAACAATCCCTCAAATCACTCAACTAAAATTAAACTAAATTTCAAAATTCAAATTTTAAATTTTAAAATTCAAAATTCAAAATTCAAAAATATATCAACTAATCAAATATTGTCATTTCTTGTCCTCATTAGTTCTTCTCATATTAGACCCTAAAATCTTTCATACGTTGATATTAGGAACCCAAGTCTTCATATTTAATTTACACTCTAGAATCACTTTAGTTGTTTTAAATTTCAGCTCCTGTCCATCCAAGTTTGAAACTTACCTTGATTATTAGGTTAAAAGTTAATCATGTTAGATAAAGTACCTTAAAGCATCACTCTTAAGGTGTCATGCTAACCAAGAAAGAGAGGTAGTAAGAGGAATGTTGATGAGAGTTTATGGGGTGATTAGAGTAAAGAGATTTTTGGGACGAAGATCTAGTGAAGAGGTAAATGAGTTTAAGTAGAATTGTAGAAGACGAGAAGAGTAGGAGGCCATTTAGAAATGTGATGAAGGGATGTTTACTGATCATTAGGGTTGGGTCCATTCCATAATAGCCCAAATAGTTTAAAATAGAGATACGATGCTATATAGATTTCATACATCTGTTGACCGGCACTGGAATTATTATTGTTAACACTTATATTCTGTTTTCTTGATGTTTGTGGCATAAGGAATAACAAATGAGCAAGGGTTTTGTTCCCAGTAGAAAATCTTGCAGCGAATCAATTCAGATAAGGATGGTATCCATAGTTACCTAGTTACCATGAGTCCTTGACCGTTATGCGACTTTACCTTATTAGCTTTTGCGCCCCGATCAAATATTAATAAAGCAGTCTCCATCTGTAACTCAACATGTTGCATGAAAATAATTTTGAATCATAGGACTGGAAGTTAATCTAATGAGTTAATCAGCTTTTTTTATGTGGTTGGAAAAGGATGGTGCAAAAGTTAAAAGGGCATTGCTCCGTCCCTTTTGTTTCTTGGTGGTGACGATGTAGTTAAAGATGGCAGTAAGGGAGATATGAGCTAAAGACCTTCAGGTACAGCTTTTGTCTTTTGTCCATTAGATGGTTTCTGGTCTGAACAGATGTTAGTTGATGCACCTGTATTTAGTTATTCAGATTGGAGATTAGAAGGAGCAGATTGTTATGGATTTGTATACTAAAGTAGTTTCCTTGTTGGTGACTAATCTGTTTTTTCAACCTCCTTGAATCCCTCTGATGACCATTTCTACTGTGAATCAAATCTGTGTTAGGTGTCTCTGCCTGGTATGCATCTGAACATAACAGTCAATCCTATGTTATTGTCAGTTCGTGTATACAAGTAGAGCTTGATTATCTCACTCCCCTGCCAGATTTAGCACATGCAGTTGTGGTAATCAGCTAGTTTATTCAGGCCTCATGCACGTCTCCTTTTGATGTTTATAAGGTTTAAAGTTGCTATACCTCAAATTTTTTCTAGAGCCAAGCAGTTCCATTTACTTGGAATGAAAGTTTCTGGGATGTACTATATGTTGGTGTTCTTGTTTAGCCATGCTTCTTATCACAACACTTATCCTTTTCATAATTTGGGGAAGCAGGCCTTAAGAGTGATTGATCCATGATTCTGTTTATCATTGTATTCTGACCTACGCTAGATGCTACAAGTTGAAAGGCATCCATGTCTGTGCCAAAAACAGGATCTCATTTGTTAAACTTACACACGTATCATGTGTTGCCATGGCATTATGGCTATGCATACCATTTAAACGCTCATGTAGTCACTACAGCTTCACGTAGGCAATTGGCAACGCAGCAAAGTATAATTAATAAAGTGGATATTGTCTGCATAATGATCATATAACAACTGGTGGTTCAGAGCGATAATTAACAACAAACCTTTAGGTTGATTGCTCGTTGGGGTGTTCCATCATATGTTTCTGAATAGCAACTATTGAAATTTTTCTCGCGTCATGGCCTGTCCATTGTCCTGTTGATATTATATACTGGTTTTATAGCTTAATCATGTTTTTCCTTCTGTATTCAGTCATCACGGATTTAGTGCATTCT